ACTTGTGTTTTTTTGTTCAGTTGATTTTGTTTTGTTAAATTTTATTAAAATTCTTTAGGGCAAGTTGCTCGTCGAACACGTCTTGCAGATGGTTTAATATTAAAACAAATTACAACACCAATTGGTGTTCTTCTTGTTATATTTGAATCGCGTCCAGATAGTTTACCACAAATAGCAGCTCTATCAATATGTTCTGGTAATGGTCTTTTATTAAAAGGTGGTTCAGAAGCTAAATATTCGAATGAAATATTAACACAAATAATACAAGATGCACTTGAACCTTATGCTCCACGTGAAACAGTTGCTCTAGTAAATATCATTGTTCTCGGGTACCTTTTTTTTTTTGAAATGTTAGTTTCTATTTTAGATTAGTACACGTGAACAAGTATCAGATCTTCTTCAATTAGGAAAATATATTGATCTTGTTATTCCACGTGGTTCAAATGAACTTGTTCGTTCAGTACAAAAACAAAGTATACATATACCTGTATTAGGTCATGCTGAAGGTATTTGTCATGTATATGTTGATAAAGATGCAAATTTAGATATGGCTTTACGTATTGGTAAAATTTTTTATATAAAAAAAATATTTTTTGTTTTTCTAATTTTATTTTTTGATGTCATTAAGTACGTGATTCTAAATGTGATTATCCAAGTGCTTGTAATGCTATGGAAACATTACTTATTAATAAAGATCTTATTCGAACACCATTTTTTGAATCATTAATTGATTTATTACGTCGTGAAAAGGTTTGTTATTTGAGTTTAAATAGTCTATTTCTTCTTTAACTCATCATTGAATTGAAGAAAAAAAGAATTATGAAAATGCTCTGAGGACAAATATTATATATATAGAAATATATTTCCTTAGGATTTAATACGGAAAGAATATACTCATATATTTCATCTGTTATAATGGAATGAAAGAAAAGATTTTTCTTATAAAAAAAAAAAAACTGCTTAAAACAGATCCTTGATCATATTAATGTTTATGACATATATAAGATGACCTCGGGTTTTTTTTATTATAGGTTAAAGTTTATTCAGGCCCACGTTTATCAATGATGGTTCCATTTCCACCACCATTAGCAACATCATTACGTGTTGAATATGGTGATTTACAATGTGCTATTGAAGTTGTTGATAATGTTAAAGATGCTATAGAACATATTAATAAATATAGTTCAAATCATACGGATTCAATTGTAACAGAAAATCGTATGTATTTTATTTTTACACAGACAAAAAAAATATATATATATTTGTTTTTGTTTATAGAAAATATAGCCAATGATTTTCTTAGTAATGTTGATAGTGCATGTGTTTTTCATAATGTTAGTACACGTTTTTCAGATGGTTATCGATTTGGTTTAGGTAAAAAAAAAATAAAAGAAATAATTTTTTATAAATGAAAGACGAAATTTAATCTTTAATAGGTGCTGAAGTTGGTATAAGTACAGGACGTATACATGCTCGCGGTCCTGTTGGTATTGAAGGTTTATTAACCACAAAATGGATTGTTGAAGGTCGTGGTGATATTGTTGCAGATTTTAGTGAAGGTCGAAAAAAATTTGTTCATGAAACATTGGGATTAATTGAAAATAATGATAAAATTTATGCACAACAGAAAACAAATCAATAAATAATTGTTTTCTTGTTCGTTTTCTTTTTTCCCTTAATACTTATCATTTTATTTGTATATTTCCTCTACTACCATTTTGTCGAAAACAACATTTTAACATTCGTCTTAATGCATAACGAAAATCATTATTTGAAAAAAAATAAAGAAATGGATTAATAAATGTATTTGCGTATGTTAACCATAAAGTTTTTCTTAATAAATTATTTGATACATACTTAATACCAAAAAATCTTTGTACAGGCCATAGAATTGTAAATGGTAACCATGATACAAGAAAAACAAATATAAGCACTCCAAGTGTACGTGCTACACGACGTTGTTTAGCTAAACGCATTTTTTGTTGTTGTTGCCTTCGTGCAACACTTATTTGTCGTTGTAATAATGAATCAGTTGTCGATATAGCACGTCTATATGTTGAATTACGTGCACGACGAAATGGATTGTTATTTGTACCGGGTGATGATGACCAAGCTGATGTATAAAAAAGTTTTTTACGTGTACGTGCTTGAGAATTTTCACGATATTCTTTAAATGAACCTTTATTTACACCAACTGAATCACGTGTACGTCCGAGCCATACAATAGCATGAACAGCACGACGAAATTTATGTGTTGTACTCATAGGTATATCAGAATTCATTTGTAATATATCTTGTTGTTGTTGTTGTTGTTGCTGTTGTTGCTGTTGTTGTTGCTGCTGTTGCTGTTGTGCTAAACGATATTTATTTGTTTCTATTGTTGGATGATTTTTTATTGTACGAATCGTTGTATAATTATTTGTTATACGTGGATGATGATGATGAATATAATTTATATTATTTATACTTCCAATCGTTGAACAACGTGCTGTTTGTTGATGAAAATTTGATGTACTACTTGCTGTTGATACAGGTCCACGTCCTCCACCTGTTTCATTTCCTGTACCTGTTAATGGATCAAATACAATTGTTTGTGATGTACGTCGTCCATTATTAAGTTTAACTTCTGTTAACCAAACTAATAATTTACTCATTTGACCATGTAATATACGAAAAATTTTTATATATAATACAATCATACCAATCATTGGTAAGAAAAAAAGTAATATTGTTGCTATTAAAACATAAATAGCACGTGCTTGCAAATAACAACCTTTTTCAGGTAAAACAATTGGTGAATATCCAGCTATATAACTATGTGCAAGAACACCTAAAATTATACATAGAAAAAAAAAAGATTAATTATTATTTTCATTAATTAAATATTTATAAGCACCTGGTATCCAAACCATTGCTGGTATTAACCATGTTAGTATAATTAATGAAAAAGCTCGTCTTACTGTACGGCGTTTACGATTCATTTTTGATTCAATTAAATATAAATAACGATCTAATGCTATAGCAGACATTGTTAAAAAAGAAACAGTACAAAATAATAATGTACAACATAACCATATATTACATAAACGTACACCAAAATCCCATTTGCCATATATTTCCCAAAGCGATATGAATGGTATAACAGTTGTACCAACAAAAAAATCAGCTACAGCTAAATTAATTATTAAATAATTGTTAACCTTAATTAAAAATGAAAATATTACTAAAGAAAAAAATGACTTATTTATATCAACATACACTTTTTAATCGTGGTTCAACACATATAGCAATAATGATAATTATATTACCGAGAATAGTTATAATAGTTAATGCTGCAAAACCAATAAGACGTGCAATCATTGTTTTTTTTTCTGTTGTTTGTATTTATATTGGAAAAGAAAAAATTTTTCAGTTAGATATATTACTTAACATAATTCATTATCCATCAAATATCTTGCCATTAAAAATAAAGCCATTCGTAGTATCATCTTCACTTTCACTTTCTTGTCTTTTTTTTTCTCTATATAGTTTTATATTGTGGCTCACTCACTCTCTCTCTTTCTATATATATATGAAGACGAATCAAATGACAACAAAACTTCTACGGCATGAAGCTGGTAGTGCTTTCTGAATCCATATGTGCTTATATAAGCGTGTGTTCTTGTATTTAGCTTTAAAAAAAAAGAATAGAACAAAAAAACACTATTGTTGTAAGCAAAAGAAAAATTACACTCTATTTTCTTTTCAACTTTGATAAATATAGTCAAATAATGATAAAATTGTATGGATATATGTTTGAACGCTGAACATGTTTAAATGAGACAATTAAAATTTATCATAAGCCTCTAATAAATGATTATTTTACTCAATAAATGAATAAATAAGTATTTACATAGTGTGCCAAGAACCTTTATGAAAATTTATTATCTATCACATATCGATTTCTCATTCTTTTGTTTTCTTTTAAGCAAAAACAAAGAAAAGGAGACGAATTATCATCATCATTTCAATCGATCATTAGAATTACAGTTTGATTACAGATAAGACTTTTTCTTTGTTCTTAAAAAAGAATAAAAATCATGACTATTAAAAAATATGATACTTACATATGAGTATAAAGTAAATTACATATGAGATCTTTTATTCACTAGAAGAAACATGCTAACTTTGTTCTCCTAATATCATATAACATTTGTGGACAAAAATAGATCTTATGAATCGATCATACATCACTTCGATGACATGCAAATCTTGACTGGTATATCTTATCAATAAAAAAAATAAGTCATCGTATTTTAGAATCAAAGCATAGAATGATCATTATAAGTAATATGAATACATCGAACGAGAAAATATGACTATCGACATGCACGATGATCTAATTTAATTTGATATAGTTTTCTGTTTTTTTTTGCCGGCGTTTATCGTGAATGAATAACAACACGAAGCAGCATGTTAATATATATATATATAGACATCGATGCCGTTGTGAGAATTCAGTAGTTCAATTAGAGGCCGATCTTGACGTGCATGAAAATGGTCTCGACTAGTTGTTTTTCCCTTTTATTTTTTGATGATGACAATGACTATCGTTGGAGTTCCGGTTCACATTTCCGACTGTTCGAATTCAAATGAAACGTGAACGACAAAAACAACTCTAACTTATTTGATAATATTTTATGTCTAGGAAATTATCTAAAATAAACTACGCATAGATTTGCAAAATATTTTTATTACATTTTATCTAAATTAAAAAATATTTATTTATAAAAGAAAAAAAAAATAATTTTTTGTTAATCATGTTTAAATTATTTTATTTTTGCATTAAACTAAAAATATCAGATTACATATTACATGTGTAAAAATAATTTTTTATAG